ACGCTCTATTATCTGTTAAGTGGTCGTTTACGGGAGGTTAAAAACAAAAGACAATTTCAAACTTTTAGCTCTAAAAGTGGTCGCGGTCGCTTACGAGAGCTGGTCGCCTACAAGAGGTTCCAAATATAGTGATTCGACTTGGAAACTTTTGGTATTTTGGAAAACTGTTCGCTGAGTAGAGGTGGTCGCTTACGAGAGGTGGTCGCAACCGGAGGTTCGACTGTAGTTAAAAGACCCCCCAAGCTACAGCTTTTTTACCCAAAGGCCTGAGTTAAATCGGTTTTGTAGCCTTATCAATAGACCTAAGTTTCGTACTGCAGCACTGCAAATACTCATGAATTTCTGCCAAAAAGATTCATTTTATATAAAAAAGAAGGTGCTTTGCTTAGTTATGGGTTCTATTACACTTCACTTTTGTTAATACTTTCAGGTTGCCAAGAAGAAGCCCTCGGAATGGAAAATGGGGAAATCCCCAACTCTGACATCAAAGCTAACTACGAGGTAAATGCAGTACATTTTTAGCGAAACTCCGGCGGCCCGAATGGCCGCCAAGCGAAGCCCCATACCCATATAGGAAAGAGCAAGAAACCCATGAATTGATTTTCTCATGGTTATCATGGCTAGCGGTATTGCTCGTGGGCGCGTACGCACGACGACGACGACGACGTAGTCGCGCAAGATGGCGGCCATACTCCAGCTTAAAGGTTGACAGAAACACACAGCCTTGATTTATAGCCTCCTTCTTTGATATTGGACATCCATGTTATGGTCAATTGACACCTGTCAAATCAAGGTATCCGCTGACCGGTATTACGTGACCATATCGTGAGCTCAAGTTCAGAGCTCATCAAGGTCACGTGCTTTTAAAAGTTGACGGCAACCCAAACGCTGGTTTTCTATTGGATCGTGGGCTCATGTCTGAATAACTTGTTGTAAACGGGGCCGGGTTGCTCGGAAGCCGGTGAACGCTAACCCAGGTTTAAAATTAACAGAAGTATACGCAATTCTTTTATACACATGCTTTTCACTGCTTTTGTTTAGTGTATTTTGAGATTATTCGAACTCAAAACAGAAGGCCAAACAATATACAGAAAACCTCGCTGCAAAGTTACAAAATTCAAATCAAAGTTCTCGCTTAAACTGGGTTATCTTGATCGGGCTTTGAACAGCCCGGCCCAGGAGCCCCGCTTTTAGGCTTGAGTAATTCTATACATTATACTTGTGCAGTATACTCTTTCACGACATATCAGGCGGGTTAGCTCAAGGTACCGTTGGTTGTTTTTACCGTACTCAAATTTGGTTTATTATTTTGATGCGATTGTGATTCTTGTCCAGTAATAGTGTGTCAGTAGTTACTGGTCACGTCTCGTAGTCTTGAAATCTGCCATTTTTACTTTCTCCGTCGGTGAATTTCGAGAAATGATCGTCATCTTCTAACGCTTTTGAACGGTTTTGAAGCCGATTTCCAGCAGCAGCTATTGCTATTGAACAGTACTTTCATGTGGTACTGATTATTATGCTGCATAGGGTTCTTTCTATAAAGACAACAACAACATCTTTATTTTCTCAATACAGATATAAATATTATAACATTTTTGTGTATTTAATATATGTAGCATGTATCGGTTAAGGTAACTGTTTTAATCTTATTTTAATGAAAATGGAGGCTTAATGAACCGTTAGGTTTTCAAGTCAGCCTCCAGCCTAGTAAAGTCTAAATGTTGGGTAGTAGAGATGAAGGAAGAATTTACAAATTACATTTTAGATTAAGGTAGAGCAAAAAACAAAACATACATATAAAAAAACCGCCAGACTTAAGAAAGAAAAACAAGTTTAGGGGTGCTGAGAGGTGCATTCGTATGGTGCTCTTGAAAGTAAAGAGCTTCAGTGCGAAGTAGCTCAATTCCCTTAATAAGAGGACAAGGGCAATCAAACAAGAAATTTATGAATCGACGTCTTATATTTGCAGCATAGTGTAGCTCGAGGGGCTACCAATGCCAGGCTTAATCACAGGCCAGGGAAAGGCAAAGCAGGCGCATGGTCAACTTCGTTCCTGGAACAAGGACAATGGATTCAGGTGGATCTTGGTGACATTACAATAGTGACCNCTCGGAAGCCGGTGAACGCTAACCCAGGTTTAAAATTAACAGAAGTATACGCAATTCTTTTATACACATGTTTTTCACTGCTTTTGTTTAGTGTACTTTGAGATTATTCGAACTCAAAACAGAAAGCCAAACAATATACAGAAAACCTCGCTGCAAAGTTACAAAATTCAAATCAAAGTTCTCGCTTAACCTGGGTTATCTTGATCGGGCTTTGAACAGATCGGCCCAGGAGCCCCGCTTTTAGGCTTGAGTAATTCTATACATTATACTTATGCAGTATACTCTTTCACGACATATCAGGCGGGTTAGTTCAAGGTACCGTTGGTTGTTTTTACCGTACTCAAATTTGGTTTATTATTTTGACGCGATTGTGATTCTTGTCCAGTAATAGTGTGTCAGTAGTTACTGGTCACGTCTTGTAGTCTTGAAATCTGCCATTTTTGCTTTCTCCGTCGGTGAATTTCGAGAAACGATCGTCAACTTCTAACGCTTTTGAACGGTTTTGAAGCCGATTTCCAACAGCAGCTATTGCTATTGAACAGTACTTTCATGTGGTACTGATTATTATGCTACATAGGGTTCTTTCTATAAAGACAACAACAACATCTTTATTTTCTCAATACAAATATAAATATTATAACATTTGTATATATTTAATGTATGTAGCATGTATCGGTTAAGGTAACTGTTTTAATCTTATTTTAATGAAAATGGAAGCTTAATGAACCGTTAGGTTTTCAAGTTAGCCTCCAGCCTAGTAATGTCTAAATGTTGGGTAGTAGAGATGAAGGAAGAATTTACAAATTATATTTTAAATTAAGGTAGAGCAAAAAATTAAAACATACATATAAAAGAACCTCCAGACTTAAGAAAGAAAAACAAGTTTAGGGGTGCTGAAAGGTGCATTCGTATGGTGCTCTTGAAAGTAAAGAGCTTCAGTGCGAAGTAGCTCAATTCCCTTAATAAGAGGACAAGGGCAATCAAACAAGAAATTTATGAATCGACATCTTATATTTGCAG